AATATGTACATGTATATTTGTGTTTAAAACACATTTTCCATGCTTTGAAGATAACAAGACACATAATTGAATATACATGATCTAAAATATGTCAACTAATCACCCCATTCAACTAAAAATATAAACAACTATTGCTGAAAGTGAAAAATTGGTCATTTTGCACATTTATGTGTCATTTTTGATTTTAGTGTGCTAATAAATATGCTAAATTTTTGAAAAGTTTAAGAATATTAACATGCAATAATAACATTTGTGTTGGTTTTCTTATTAAATGGTGGAGGGCAGATCTTAGACCTCTAATAAAAAACATTCGTTGTCTTACATACATTTTCTTTAACTTAAATCAAAGAAGACAGATTCAATAAAAAACATATTTGAATCTATCATCAAAGAATTATATTCGTGGAAAATTATATGCTACTGCTAAATGCAGAATGCTAAAAATGCCAAATTTTAGACACATGTAATCAAATGAAGGTTACATTAAATAATACATAGTATTGATAGAGAATAGCTACAATTTTGTTAAAGTCTATGATTTGAAATAACTTTTTTTCATGGAGACATGAAAGCTCTAATATCAACATTGGTTGTCAAATATACATTTTTTATATCCTAAATGGAAGAAGACATGTACAAGAACAGATCTGACCAAGAATGCACCAACCAGTCAGCATAAAACTCAAGATATAGGGACCTATACGTTATTGCTGAAAGCGAAAATGAAAAAAGCCAAGTTTTGTCCTTAAATGTCTCATTTCTAGGCACTAGTTTACCAATAAAGGTTCTGAAATATCTTAAAAACATTAAATAACACATAATATTGATATAGAATAGCTATAACTTTATTAAAGTTTATAGTTTCAAGTTATTTTATATTGTCATATTTTTTTAAAATAATTTTTCCTATTCCTAATAAATGGGGTAGGGGAGATCTGAAAGCTCTACTATGAACATTGGTCATCCACTATACATTTTTTATATCTTAAATGAAAGAAGACATCTACAAGAACAAATTTGACTAAGAATGCACCAACCAGTCAGCATTAAACTCAAGATATAATGACCTATATGGTATTACTGAAAGCGAAAATGGTAAAAAAGCCATGTTTTGTCCTTAAATGTATCATTTCTAGGCACTAGTTTACCAATAAAGGTTCTGAAATATCTTAAAAACATTAAATAACACATAATATTGATATAGAATAGCTACAACTTTATTAAAGTTTATAGTTTCAAGTTATTTTATATTTTCATATTTTTCTAATAATTTTTCATTATAAATGGGGTAGGGGAGATCTGAAGGCTCTAATATGACCATTGGTGGTCCACTATACATTTTCTATACCTTAAATGGAAGAAGACATCTACAAGAACAGATTTGATTAAAATTGCAACAACCAGTAAGCATAAAACTCAATATATGAGCAACTATATGTTACTGCTGAAAGATAAAATGATTTTAAAAAATGCCAAGTTTTGTCCTTAAATGTATCATTTCTAGGCACTAGTATACCAATTAAGGTTCTGAAGTATCTGAAAAACATTAGATAATACATAATATTGATATAGAATAGCTACAACATTGTTAAAGTTTATAAATTCAAGTTATTTTACTTTTTCATATGTTTCAGTAATTTTTCATAATAAATGGGGTAGGGGAGATCTGAAAGCTCTAATATGACCATTGGTGGTCCAATATACAATTTTTGTATCTTAAATGGAAAAAGACATGTACAAGAGCAGATTTGATCAAAATTGCAACAACCAGTCAACATTAATCTCAAGATATAAGGAACTATATGTTACTGCTGAAAGCGAAAATGATCAAAAATGCCAAAATTTGTCCTTAATTATCTTATTTCTGGACACTAGTACACTAATGAAGGTCCTTAAACATCTGAAAAACATTAAATAATACATAGTGTTAATATTAAATAGCTAGAGTTTTGTTTGAGTTGAACATTTTGACTTTTTGTAGTTTCCATTTTTAGCCAATTATTTTCTAAAAAATTCAAGGTATGTCTTCTTCGGACCAATATTTAGATATGTTCGCAATAGTTATATGCTTCGCAGGCGAAATCCCTTATGCAGGAAACCCTTATAGAATGAAAAATACAGAGAAACTCCATCCAGCTCACAAAGTCATTTTTTGCACAATTCTCACACCTTCCACCCCGAGTAATTGTCATGCATGGGAGGTGGTCCTAAATTTAAAATTTTGGATGATTATGTCTTGATTTTAGCCTACTTAAAAGTGCTCTAGCGGGGCAAGACTCATACTCTTTTAATGTTCATAAAATTGAAACCATGCTGTGTAATTATTTGAAACTTTACAAAGTGAACAACAAATGTTCAAAAAATGTCTGGACTTTTTGGACAACCCTCGTACTTAATATGAGTAGTTTACAATTAATATAAATGAAATTGTGAAAATAGTAGTGTAATTCATTCTATAGCGTTGCAGTATGCAATAAACCTATCCCCGACCTATATATTTTGAAATTGTCAATTTTATACAGTGTCCCCAGCATCCATAAAAAATGGTTTTCAAAATACACCATCCATATAAATTATTTTGCATCTTGGAAGCCAGGCAGGTTCTGTGTGATTTTATAAAAATTCGGAAATGTTCATCAGATATGAGTCCCCTCTAAATATTTGGTGCAGCAGAACTTAATAAACAAAAAACTTAATCGTTATCGTTATTTGTGAGAGTACTTGGACCACATCAACTGTTTCCAGAGTCTCTCTACATACTAGGAAAGTCGTTGTCATGTTTAAAAGGACACATGTCAGGTTATCAGGTTATAATTCTGTTGGGTATGAATGTATTTGATGTTGTCTTATGTTTCCTTGCATTACGTCTTGATAATTTTGATATACAATTAGAGGTGTCACACAGACCTGAAGTTCACTCGGGTCGGAGGGCTCGGGTCAGGTCACAAACAGCTACTTACCAATCCGGGACTGGTCAGAACACTCAGGAATATCATATAAATTATCCTAAAATGCTTTATATTCCCAGCAAAAATTTCAAACTTTTAGCTAGCCTATTTCTTGTATACGTATAATAATGAACATAAAATAATTTCAAGTTCTTCTCCACTATTTAATGCTAAGTTTCTATCATTTTCCTCGATCAATACATAACATGCAGTAATTCAGGCTTAAAACAGTATTAAAATGTGACGTATATTCACCCAGTCATTTCAGTTGCTTGTACTAAATTCTTTTTTTTTTTTTTCTGACCCGACCCGAAATTACCCGACCCACACACTTTTTTCTGGCTCGACCCGACCCGAAGAATATCTGACCAGTGACACCTCTATATAATGCTTATATTGGGTGTCCCAAAAAAATGAGACTCTTTTTGACAAGTATTTTCTCGGCAACTGATGAATCAAATTTTTTGAAAATTTGTACTAAGTAGTCCTGGAGTATCGTTAGCAAGGTACAGAAATTTGAAAAAGATCAGATGAATGTCATGTGAGTACTAAGAAATTCATAGCATGTCAAAATACCACATACTGGAGCAATGCAATGAGAATTTCATTGCTTTTGTACCAAAAAAGGGAAGCAATTTGACAAGTAATTTCCCAGAAATAGATGAGCTTAATCATTTGAAAACTTTACTTGAGGCACTTTAGTGTGTCTTCTGATAGTGCTATGAATATGTCAGAGATTGGCCTCATATTATGTGTGTATTGTTGAATTAAAGACAGTATGTCAAAATAACCAATATCGATGTAAATTTCACTTATTAATTCTTTTTCAAGCAAAATACCTTTCCGTATTTATTCTAACAATATCACCTCCAATGAATTTTGAGAATGAATGGATTTTGGATATTTGGGGAGAATGAAATGAATTAAGTAGACATGACACACAGACAAGCTATTTTGACTTATTAACAAATGCTATCACCTGATAGCTGTACAAACACTATAGAGGTCTCATCTCAGAGCTCCAGTATGGGGATTTTTGACATGCCATTTTGAATTTCTTATTACTCGCAGAATATTTACTTGATTTTTTTTTTTAATTTTACAACTTGGTAATGATACTCTCGGGCTAATTTGTACAAATTCTCAGTGAATTTGGTTAATCAGTTGCAGAGAAAATACTTGGCAAAAAGTGTCTCATTTTTTGGGACACCCGATATATCACATTTCCTTTACCATTTCAAAAAATGTTGTACCCATCACATCTTTCAGTTTTTTAACTTAATAATAAAAGGAAAACTGAATAAAACTAAATTAATGTTATTTTGCCATATGGATAGCTCATGTTATTCATCAATTTTAACTCACTTTGGTTATTCAGTCTCTATATCTTTAAATCCCCTGGTCTAATTCATTTTTGCTTTAAAGGAATAAACCAAGTCTCAAAGCACATTTTAAACTAAATATTAGGAAAGGATTGCACTTTTGGTGTAAATAAGCCCAACATTTTTGAAAAAATATGATGAAGGGCTGATTGTCCAATCAATATCACAGAGTTCAATTAACTTAATTATCATGTCATATGTTTATATAATAATCGAAACCAAAACGCCCCGCAAAACCGTTAATTTGAATTTCAAATCTACCCTGTCTTTGGAAAATCGATGATTGTGAGTCTCACACTACACCGTTTTTCTTCAAACTTGTTCCAATAAAACCTTCACAGAAATACCTTGCAGTCGAGACATTGCCTTTGTTTACAAAGTCCCTCGTTTAAGCGGCGTTTTGGTCCCCAGATGTGAGAAGATGCAAATCTTCAGAGATTTCAACCAAATTTATTACATTAAACGCACCAAGTAATGGAACAAGTTTGAAGAAAAACGGTGTACTACGAGACTCGCAATCATTGATTTCCGAAGAAAGGGTAGGTTTGAAATTCAAATTAACGGTTTTGCGGGGCGTTTTAGTTTCGATACGCCCCGGTGAGTTAGTACCGCGTGTACATACCAGAAAGAGAGATACAATGCCATTAATTATTAAAAATTATATTCTTACCAAATTTTTGTTCGAGTGTTGAACAGTTTCTTTGTTCCACTATTATTTCTTTCGTAACTGCAACACGATCTGACTTATGATTTTTTTGGATACGACCAAAACTTAAATATATAAATGACACATTTGAAACTATTAATATATATAGTAATGTATGAATGTATGTTTTCCATTGTAATTTTATGCTTTTGCAAATTTTGACCGCCATTATTGTTACCCTGTTTTCTGACAAGTGGAGTTAGTCTAGTTTAAAGCATCTAACAAATTAAATGAAACAGTATAATTAGACCAGTCACTTGTTGTTATGCCTCTGGCCACGCTTAATTATACTTTATTGGTATTGGCATATGACTATCATTTTAATTTCATGCTAATAATAATTTGTTTTTTTTAAATCATTATCAAAAGAAAATTAATTTAAAAGTATGTGTGTGCGCGTAAGTGTAGGCAATAGTTTAGTCAAAATGAGATTTTTACAGGATCAAGATATAAATCAAATGAAAACACGAAATGTGTTTTTCTTAGGTTTATCTACCCTGATTTCGAGTGATTTTAACTTGGATGCATATTCCTCTTTAGAACAGTTTGAATAATTAACAAAGTCCACTTTGAACTGTGTCAATCAAATAGTCAAATATGTAGATAGCACATGCAGGGGGTAGATTGGTTCTAGCGCCCCCCCCCCCTCCGTGGTCAAAAAATGCATTTTTACACCATTCTGAGCACTTTTTAAATTATTTTGCCCATTTTTGAACTACATGTACATTGCCAAAAGTGAACTCCCCCTAGAATTTTTTAAAAAGTAACCTTCTCCTTGACAAATCCTGACTACGGGTCTGAAACGTAATCAAGTCTACATTTATAACAAATATAAACCTGAATGAATAACTTCATCGAGTCGTCTTGTAACGACGGTCTTGCAACAACTGTCGCTAATTGTCACCTGTATTGATCATGATGGGGCGACGGCAGTGCCCCGAGTTTTTTATCTTATTAATCTTATTAATTACTATTTGAAATTGAAGAATTTAGGACCCTGGAAGCAAAACAGCTCTTTGTTATGAAAAGAATACTCCACCCACATTGACAGAACCCCTCATGTAAACCAATCTAAATTGCTAAACTGATCGATGCATCAGAACAAGCTGTCACTTGGTTTAACGCGAACAAAATGGTAGCAAACCCAGAAAAATTTAAATGTATGTTTTTAAAGCCCTGTAAAATTGGTGCCGATGCACCCTCTGAACTGATTTTTAGTAGTAAAACTATCAAAACTGAAGATAATGTTAACATTCTAGGTATTACCATTGATAATCAACTTAATTTTAACTTACATGTGAAAGATATATGTGTCAAAGCAGCAAGACAGATAAACGCTTTTAAGAGAATCTCTAAACACCTGGATTTAAATACCCGTATGGTAATCTTCAAGGCATTTATCCTGTCCTGCTTCAATTATTGCCCAACCATATGGCATCAATGTGGTGAACTTAAGTCAGTCAAAATGGAATTGTTACAGAAACATTGTGTCAGATTTGTTCATAATGATTGGAAGTCTAGCTATGAAGAACTACTTGTAGAATGTGACAAATCGCAATTGAAACCTACAAAATCATTAAAGGCACGTGCCCATCTTATTTGTCAGATTTATTTCAAACTAACACTCATAGATACTCCTTAAGATCAACCAACACAATCAATGTCCCTCCATACCATAGTTCTCCCTATGGTAGACACTCTCTCAGAGTGGATGCTGCTTTCATTTGGAACAGCCTCCCCAATGAATGCAGATTGGCAATTTCCCTGGGAGAGTTCAAACAGGATTGTAAATGTGCAATGTGCAAATAATAACTTATCACCTCAATTTTATAAACTAGTCAATAGATGTCTCAGTCATATAGCCAGTGTACTATGTATCAATTTTATTCTAGTCATATGTCTTATAGATATAGATGTTAAATTATTGTATGCATGTATTTTATTTGTTACACTTTTTACCATAGATTGTATTATACACTAGTCGGAGAATAGCGCTTGCGCTAATGTTTTTTGTACACCATAACCGACGTAAAATAAATATTATCTTATCTATAAATACCTTTGAAAACAATTTGATTTTCAATCTAAATATCAGGTGGAGAGTACTCTTTGATAAGATCAGCATTTATAAAGTGTAGGGAAGTTTTGATAAATATCTTTATAGTTGATTATTCAGATACATTTTTCTTTCATGTTGACGCTCATCGAACATAATTCTAATAAACTACCATGATATTTGGACCCGGTATTTGGAAAACTTGCAAACATTTCAGGCCCTGTAGCCAGGATTTGGCAAGGGGGGTTCAGGTTTCAAAAATTTCCAGGGGGGTCACATTTGACAATTTTGGCCCAAATATGACTAAAATCACTTGAGAAGTGCTCAAAATGGTGAAAAACTACATGATTTTGAAAGAATTTTTGGCCAGGGGGGGGGTTCGCCCTAACCCTGTGAACCCCCCCCCCCCCCTGGCTACAGGCCTGCATTTTGAATGCAAATGTACTCAAGTACTATAGTACTATATAGTACTATAGTATAGTACTATTCCTATAGTACTATATAGTACTATAGGAAATTTAAAACTAATATGATAAATAAATTAGAAGAACTTTATGACAATGACCCTAAAGAATATTGGTCCCTACTTGAGCAACTAAGGCAAAAAGACGGAAACAATAAGTCCGCGTATATAACACCAGAGAAATGGCATGAACATTTTTCCAAATTATTTGAAAAGGATAAAAATACCGAAAACAACAATAAAGTCAACGAAATTGTTAAATCAATAGAAAACGACAATCATTTTGACGAACTTAGCTTCAGAATAACAGAAAACGAGGTTTACAAGGCAGTTAAGCAATTAAAGAACAACAAGAGTTCGGGTTTTAACGGCATTAGCTATGAAATGATTAAAGCGTCATACTCAGTTTTAAATAATGTTATCTGTAAAATGTTTAACATATTACTGAGCAAAACAGTTTTCCCTGAGAAATGGAATATTTCATCAATCGTTACGTTATTTAAGAAAGGAACGACGAAAGACCCTGGAAATTACAGAGGTATTTTTATTTCTGATTGCTTTGGCAAATTATTTCCAATAATTTTGTATAATAGACGTTACGCCTTTGTACATGACAGAAAAATAATATCGGAAAATCAAGCCGGTTTCACAAAGAAAGCACGAACAACTGACCACATGTTCATAATACGAACCCTCGTGGATAAATATGTACTAAGTGAAAAAGGGAATATATATATGTGTTTTGTTGATTTGAGGAAAGCTTTCGATACGGTATGGCATGATGGATTATTTTTGAAACTTTTGCAATCGGGTGTAAACGGTTTATTCTATAAAATGATAAAACATATATATTCACAATCAAAAGCAAGAGTCAGACTAGATAATGAGGGTTTATTTACCAATGAATTTGACTGTAACAAGGGAATAAAACAGGGGGACCCCCTGAGTCCTCTTCTATTTAATATATATATAAATGACATTATTAAAACATTAGATCTCAAAACAGACCCATTATTAAATAATAAGCGAATTGGAAGCCTCCTTTTTGCTGATGACTTAGTAATTATCGCATCCTCAAAAGATGAAATGCAAACCAAATTGGACAAATTAGAAAAATACTGTGAAGAATGGCACTTAAATATCAACACTGATAAAACCAAAATTATGGTAATGAATAAAAATGGTAGACTTATTGATAATCACTTCTTTATAGGAAATTACAAAATAGAATCTGTTTCACGATACATTTACCTGGGAATGGAATTAAGCATAAGTGGGTCAATGAGACCTGCAGCCCAGCATATCAAAGACAAAGCTGAAAAGGCAAAATTTAAATTATTAAGTCTAATTTCTAATGGTAATATGAAACCATCATTATGCTTAAAACTATTTGATCAACTCATAAAGCCCATATGCCTCTATGGATCTGATATATGGGGTACGGGTATCTTAAACTCGAGTAAAATTAAAAAAGACCCACAATGGGCATTAGAAAAGGGATATGATGGAATAACATTTGAATCTCTTCATATATCATTTATGAAATCGATACTCGGTGTTAACAGAAAGGCCAGTAATGACGCTACACGAGGCGATTTAGGTAGGTTTCCACTATTTATTTCTTTGTTTTATCAACAAATGAAATATCTTAATCATATTAACAATAAAGGAACCGACTCGCTTCTACGTGAAGCCCTTGAGGTAAATAAACAACTGACAGATATGAATAAACAATCATGGCTCACGCACATCAATGATGTACTTAAATATATTTACAATGGTACTTCACCAAACTATTTAAACTTAAAACCAAGAGAAATTAAGAAATTACTGGAAAATAGATACATACAATTTTGGGAAACTAAAATAAAATCAAATAATGGTAAATTGAGGTTTTATAAGATAATAAAAAAAGCAAAATGGAACAAGGAACCCTACTTGGATTTAATCAAAAATGAAATAGACAGAAATAACTTGACAAAGCTAAGAATTAGCGCACATAAATTAGAAATCGAAACAGGTCGTTACACAAAACCAATTACCCCTATTGAAGAAAGAAAATGTTTAATGTGTAACAAGAAAACCGGTTCAGAATGTCATTACCTATTAGAATGCAATAAGTTAAAAGATGTTCGGTCAAGTTACATGGATAAAATAAAAAAACACTGTCAAAATTTAGAAAACATGAATAACGTGGAACATAAATTAATGTTTCTATTTAATTCAGAGGGAATAATATTAAATATACTAGCAAAATATATATCTAATATTTTTATCGAGAGAGAAAAAAAACACGAAATGCATCCAATAAAATCTTGCAATGATCAAGCACCCTTTGATTAGTTAATATACTATATAGATAATTAGTTAAGCTTTTTCATTTTTTTTTCTGTTTAAGCTGTACACTTTGCCCAAATGTGGGATACAAGTATAATAAAGCTCATAATAATAATAATATATCTTGAGTTCTACCCGGATCCCCGAAAACGTTTAAAATCAAACTCGATTATTTAGCCAAACTTCAAAATAAGGGATTCCATAGAAAT